CTCGACTTCTCAAGCGCATTACCAGGATGAATTAGCGCTGCAGAACCTAGCTAGGCTGAAATGAAATGCATAAATCGTGATCACTGCAACAGAACTTTGCTTTAAGAGGATCTCAACCAAATTGCTTAATGATCGGAGGTTAAGAAATGTATTTCAGCTCTTCAGCTGGCCATGGAAAAACAATAGGAAGCTGTGGTACATTTGAGTAGCGTGATGAATTTTTGCTTCATTGAACCAGATTAGATGAATCTAGTTTCAGCTGCTATAGAAAAAGATTCGCGCATTGTGAAACATTCATGGAGTTCCGGACATGTGCGTTTCGTGTCAAATTCATCGTTCTTCCTGATACGATTCGTGATACCTCTATCCGTCTTTTCGTGGCGCAAAGAAGGATCGACCCATAGCCATATTTTAAAATGGATTTTCGTTTCTAGATTCCCGAAATATAGCATTCTTCCTTATACGATTCGTGATCAGAGTTAGAAACACCTGCCCTAGTAGCACATAACATGGATTCAACGTTGATTCAACATCCAGATGTTGAATCAGCATGGAATCGAAGTTGAATCAATGTAATGTGCTACTAGGGTGGTTTCAGCTCTTTAACTTACATGGAAAAAGATACATCATGATGCATTTTCGGTGTGATGCATTTCCATTTCGTGTCGTATCCATGACAAATGATCAGGTCAATGTTACTAGAATTTCGCTTCACTGTATAAGTAATACCTAAATAATAAAGAATAAAATGTGATGAAATGTGATGCATTTTCGTTTCTTGTCGAATCCCCGAGATGCAGCGATTCTCCTGCTGTGATTCATGGTCAGAGTTTCATAAACCTGTTTCCAGCTCTTTTGAGTTGTTAGAAAATAATTCGCCGATAGTGATGCATTTTCAGAGTAGAATGCAATTTAGTTTCTTGCCGGATCTCCGAAATATAGCGTTCTTGTTATCTTAAGTTATAGACTGAAGGCTGTGCACAAAATGAAACCATGGTATACGTTAAATTTCGTTCGGTCCAGAAATCATATTCAACATAGAGCATTGGCTCTATGAGGCAATACTCATAGAGCCAATGGTGTACCAATTCCAACCAAAGATGAAAAAAAGCATTTATGTCGTTTAGACAACGGTTTTCGTTCTGTTGCTAATTTAATGCCCTCTGATTTGGCCTGACTTGAAGTTTCCGTTTTTTCAGGAAAGAAGGCATATCCATGCAAACGACATGCATTGTTGCGGAGTTTTCCTGCGTTATTTAAAAAATCGAGTTTCACCAATTCATCAACTTGGAATGTTGTGAGAGTATTGAGAAACCATCCTACGCCAAGTGATGAAAATGCATCATTCTATGCATCTTGTGGAGCTTATTTGGTCCAAGTTTAGTATTTATACTGTTCAGGAAAAGCAAGTGAAAATGACAATTTTGTAAAGCAATGTGTTACCACTTTCTCTGGATAACTCTGGATTTCACATGGAAGTTTATTTGTTAAGAAAATAAAATACATCATGCATGCATACAAATACAGAAAACGGATATACGCTGCTTGAAAACACATTTTGAAAAACGCCACTACAACTTTCACAAAGAGACATTGAATGTGGATGACGATAAACAATCTTTGTCCAAATTTGTTTTATCACATTCTTGAGATATAACTCTGGAACTGCCCTAGAGGAACCTGGATCCGTCGTAGAAAAAGATTCATTCATGCGAGTATATTCCCGATTGTTGCCTTTTTGTTTTATGTAGGTTCCACGACACAATGCTTACTTTCTGCTATGATTTGTTGTCATAGGTTGATGAAACTGGTATCAGCGCTTTATAATGGAACGGAAAATTATTCATCAATACAGTATACAGTGCGATACGATTTTGTTTCAAGCCGTATCCGTAAGATATAACGTTCTTCATGATCAGAGATTGACCAGATCATCTAATGTCAGAAAAATATTCATCCACAAGGATTTACAGCGTATTTCCTACAAGCATTCGTTATCATAGGTCGATGATCTCTGAAGCTGAAATAGAATCCATTGTTGCATTATAATGCATTTTTGCTTCATGTATCCCTGAGAAATGGCATTCTTGGATGTTTTGATGAGGTTTCAAAAGGACTTTAATACGTCATAGCAGACAAAGCAACAAACACACTATTGGAGGAATGCCATCATCCACGCATTGAAAACTCATAAAAAATTGCTGCGCAGAACAGCAATGGCGAAGTGAACAACTGATGTATGTCATTCATCACATGCTTCACAAGTGTTTACGTTTTGGAGAAATGTTGGCACAGATGCTGGAGTTGGGCCCCCGCCTCCAGGAGGGTCGGAACCTCCTCTTGGGCATGCTCGGGGTGCAAAAAAGTGGCATTTTCGCGTGGATCGTCGAACTTTGAGAGCGAACGGTTGGAGGAAACGATGCGCAACTCCGCCAAAAGATGGATCAGCATAGCCTCCAAAAAGTGTCGCATGCTTTTGTCGATAGAAAATTTCTACGAGGAATGAGAGCGAAAAAACAGAATCTGAAAACGGAAATTTTCTCAGTTATGGCGCCATGGCGTCTCGATAACGACAGTTACATGCATGTATTTATTTTTCCCATTTAGAGTGATATCTTCCAAGGAGAATGGCATGTATTTGACGTTTCTGCGGCAAATGGTTGGGGAGATACACATTTTCAAAGAGATGCATGTAAATTGTGACCTCAATTCATGGCGAATTTGACCTCAATTCATGGCGTGACCGCAGAGAGTCAGCAATCGGCTCCAAGGCCCTTTCTTGAAGTCCCTTACAACAATTATAGAGCGGAATTTCGATCCAGGGGGGTCGATTTTCATACTTTTAAAATTAAAATGGACATTAACATGGAATGGAATCCTCACACATTTCAGATACTAGGGTTGACTTTTTCTGAAAATATAGAAGAGATACAAAAAATTAACTATGAACGTATAATACACAAAATTTTAGAAGAAATTGCGAAATGGAGCAAGAGAAATTTGTCGGTCCTGGGTAGAGTACTTATTTTGAAAACAAAATTACAACCGAAGTCAACTTATTGTATTTCAAACCTACTAAATCCGAAGGACAGCTATCTAAAAGATATGCAGCGCGTTTTCAACAAATATATATGGAAAGATAAAAAGGACAAAGTAAAAAGGGATCAGATGAGAATGCATTTTCAATTTGGCGGCCTGAGAGTTCCGGATTTGCAAATCTATTGTCAAGCCCTTCAAGTAACTTGGCTCAGAAGAGCAATATTCTCCAATGATCAATGGTATAAAACAATACTCCAAAATCTTGGACTAGACCTGGGAAAAATCCTACGTTCTGGGTGGACGTTAAAAAAAGAAAATTGCGGAGAAATGTCCCAATTACTACTGGAAAGACGTCCTAACTGCGTGGGTGGAACTCCAAAAGGGAGACGTAATAGAGAAGCTATTGAGTTTGGCTGCCTTCCTCTGAACTGGGACTACACCTATAGTCGAGAAAAAAAGGTTTTAGATTATTGGGACTCAAGAAGCATTCATTATCTGGCGGACCAATATGGGAAAGGAAAGGCAATGGAATTTAAGGTACTGGAAAGACAATATCAACTTCAGAGAAGCACTTATCTAGATGGCTGGGGAATCGTCTCCAGTGTACGATTCTTGTGCAGAAAATAAAATGTTAAGTCACCGCAAAGACCGGAACTACCCATTATTCCAGATGCTTTGAGGCAATTACTGTCAAAAAAAGAAAGGAGCCAATTGTATAATGCAATACTGGTAAAGAGAAACTTTTCTTTGCAGCAAGTAAGATGCATCAAAAATTGGTAAAAAGATATTGAGGAAAAACTTGAAGAGACTGAATGAAAACAACTACTACGATTCCACACGCGGATTTTAGATCCTACTTTACAATGGTTCCAGTCTAGACTTATTCACAGAATTCTGCCAACCTCTTCGTTTCTAAATAGATGTGGACAATAGAATCCGCCAACTCTCTCAAAATATGGGTCGGAATAGACAATGACAGCAGCAGCCATTTACACTCATATCGCATCCCGGGGAGAAGACGACTAAGACAAAGGAAACGTTTCCCAAAACACAGATACGTACCGATTCCGCAAATTCCCTCAAAAAATGTATCAGTATGAACATATGGAGCAGCAACGCAGTCTTTCACAATTTTATCGTATGATGCGGAAAAAACGACCTAGATACACGAAACGTGGATCTAGGGCAGTTGCAGCAACAAATGCAGCAGCCTATCACAACTCCATCGCATTATGCGGAAAAAACGACCCAGACTCAGGAAACGTTCGCCAAAAGGCATATACATGCACATTCCGCCAACTCCCTCATAATATGCATCGGTATGAAGAACAACAGCAGCAAAACAGCCTTTCACAGCTCTATCGCAATATGCGGAAAAAACGACGAAGATCCAGGAAACGTTCGCCAAAACGCAGATACCTGCACATTCGGCCATCTCCCTCATGATTTGCATCGGTAAAAACAAATGCAGCAGCAAATCAGCCTTTCACAACTCTATCGCACCATGCGGTAAAAACTACCCAGATTCAGGAAACGTTCGCAAAAACGCAGATATCTGGAAATTCTGGAAACTCTGTCAAAATATGAATCGGTATGAACATATGCAGCAGCAAATCAGCCTTTCACACTCATATCTTATCCCGCGGAGACGACGACTAAGACTAAGGAAACGTTCGCCAAAACGCAGATACGTGCAGATTCCGCCAACTCTGTCAAAATATGGGTCGGAATAGACAATGGCAGCAGCAAATCTGCCTTTCACAGCTGGATCGCATTATAAGGAAAAAACGACCCAGATTCAGGAAGCATTCGCCAAAACGCAAATACATGCACATACCGCCAACTCCCTCAAATGTATCGGTATGAAGAACGACAGCAGGAAATCAGCGTTTCACAACTCTATCGCATTTTGCGGAAGAAACGACCCAGATTCAGGAAACGTTCGACAAAACGCAGATACGTGCAGATTCCGGTAACTGTCAAAATATGGGTCGGAATGGACATATGCAGCAGCAAATCAGCCTTTCACACTCATATCTAATCCAGCGGAGAAGACAACTAAGACTAAGGAAACGTTCGCCAAAACGCAGATACATGTAGATTCCGCCAATTCCCTCATAATATTCATCGGCATAAAGAACGACATCAGAAAATCAGCCTTTCACACTCATATTGCATTATGCGGAAAGAACGACGAAGATTCAGGAAACGTTCGCAAAAACGCAGATACGGGCAGATTCCGCCAACTCTGTCAAAACATGGGTCGGAATGGACAATGACAGCAGAAAACCTGCCTTTCACAGCTCCATGGCATTATGCGGAAAAAACGACACAGATTCAGGAAACGTTCGCCAAAACGCAGATACGTGCAGATTCCGACAAATCTGTCAAAATATGGGGCGGAATAGACAATGGCAGCAACAAATCTGCCTTTCACTGCTGGATCGCATTATGTGGAAAAAAGACCCAGATTCAGGAAACGTTCGCAAAAACCCAGATACGGGCAGATTCCGCCAACTCCCTCATAATATGCATCGGTATGAGGTTTCAAAAGGACTTTAATACGTCATAGCAGACAAAGCAAGAAACACACAATTGGAGGAATGCCATCATCCACGCATTGAAAACATAATAGAGAATCACGAAAATATCAGCGCCGAACAGCAATGGCGAAGTGAACAACTGATGTATGTCATTCATGACATGCTTCACAAGTGTTTACGTTTTGGAGAAATTTTGGCACAGATGCTGGAGTTGGGTCCCCGCCTCCAGGAGGGTCGGAACCTCCTCTTGGGCATGCTCGGGGTGCTACCCGTTCCGCCAGCATCTTGCCTTCTCCTAGTTGCAATGGTACTTGGTAGGTGATGGTTCCAGATTGGGTTTTGGCAATCGGCTCCCAAAAATCGTTGAACGTGTCTTCATCTCTCCCATCGACACATTTGATGAAATGATCTTGTTCAATTCTCGACCTGAGTTTTTTCTGAAATATGATGACATATAGTGGAGAGTTATAAGAGACAGTTTTCATACAATTCATGTAGGTTCTATAGATTGTTGCTTTGCTAAGGGTAAGTATAAAATCAATCAAGGTTTTCGCTGGGTTTGAAATGGAATTTCTTGATGGTAAGGCATGAAATAAAAATAGTCTTTCGTCCAACACTATTCCTGGCCAAATTTTATCTAGAAGCTTTTGTATATATTTATTCAGGGATATCAATGAGCGACACGAGAGAAACATATGCATTAAAGTTCCATCTTCAAAGCAAAATGGACAAGTAGGTGGAATCTGTGCATTCATTTTGTTCAAAGTACTAGGAGATGCAAGGCAATTATGTAACAATCTCCATGCGATATCACCGTCTTGTTTGAGGGACGGATATCGGTAGGGGGCTTTCCATATCGGAGACATTGCAGTAGATCCTTTTATGAGAGGACCAATATGATGGGTAGGGAAAGAAACATTATACTTCGTTAAAACAACCGATAGGGCTAGATCATATATGGAGTTGCGTGAAAAGATTGCAAAATGTAGAGCTTTCTTTTCCTTTGGCCATGTTATGATCAATGTTGAGGAGAGGTACTTGAAAAATTGGTCTAAAGGAGGGTGCTGATGAAGAGATGGAAAGTCTTCCAGTTTGATTATATCTCTAATTTTTTTCATATCTAGAGATAATTGTCTGCGTGTCGATCTACTAAGATTCTGAAGCTGAGTCGAATTCAACTCTATCCAGGAGTGACCTTGAATAAGGTCGCGGAAGGAGTGGAACGTGGTGCGCTCCCAAGCTGATGACAAAGAAATTCCAAGTTCAGAGAATAAAATATTTGGCCTGAGAGGAACGTAATAGAGACTTTCAATCGAGGAAGGAGAGGCAGATAGAGATCTTGGAAGGGATATCCAGAGTCGAGACAAATCTGAATAGTATGGTGGAGTCGAATTTCCTTGAGAATTGTTAGAAGGATTGATAATGAATGCAGCAAGAGTCAAGGTTGTCGGAAGATCACATTTGAGGCAGAGAAAATATAGAAAGGAAAAACTTGATGGATGTTCGCATGGATATAAAAGAGTACGTTTAATGTGGCACAGACGGAAAGCCAAGCGTCTTGCCTCCAGAGATATCAGGCCCTGACCACCTTGAATGAGAGACCTGTGTAAGTACACCGGATGCAACCAGTGCTTTTTCTGCCACACAATATTACGGAAGGTTCCCTCCAGCTTTGACAGGAAAGTTTCTGGGGGGTCAAGACAAGCTAGTTGGTGCCATAGCTTCGTGGCAACCAGTTGATTCAAAATAAGAACACGTCCACGATATGACATGAATTTAAAACGATGTTTCCACTGGTTAATGCATGCATCTATT